CCTTTCCCTGGCGGCGAGCGGATTTGGTTTAACAGCCGCGTTACAGCGCGGAGAAGGGGTGCTGAGCCAGGGGGGGTGGGCGCCCTCCCTATCGCCGGCTGCCGGCGCTGAGCTTCGGTAGGCTCTGACAGCACCCACAGCCCGGCGGCAGGAAAACAGCCCAGGGCTTTTTCCCCTAGGGAGAAGTTCAGCTGTTTTTTTGGTTTTTTTTTTTTTGGTGTTAAAAGGAGAAAACAGAATTATTCCATTTGGAAATATCTCTGCAGCTGGTGTCCCCGTCCAAGGGGTGGCAGGGGCAGCTCAGCCCAGAGGAAGGCGGAGGCCACGAGGCACCTCAGCTGCATGAAGGGCAGCAGCGCTCCAGCACTTTCCCAAGGCTTCTGGTTTTGAGCTGTTTTCCTGCAATAAAAATGCAAGATTACCATGGTGAACAGACACCTCTCAGTCTCCAAACACGCTGCTTTGTCAAAACCTTTTTGTCAGACTGTTATCGGTACTAATAAGGACATCTTGAAGGGCCTCCTAGTAGACACAAGGTATTTTCTACTAGACTTCCCTTTATTTCAGTATTGCTGAGGTACTAGCAATATTTTAATATTTCTTATTTAATTGTTTTATTATTAATATTTGTCATTCAAATATACAAGAAAATATACAGGATGGGCAACGTATCAACGCAGCATCACTGGAGCGACACCGAGTTATGGAATTTCCTGACTTTTAAATGCTTGATCTTGCAACATTAACATTGCATTAACACTGGGGGGTTTTGCATTCAATTTTATAAAGGCCAGGGGGGAAATAACCTATTTCCCTGCTGCCCACATTTGAAATCCATGCTTAAGTGCACATTGGGTCAACCCCTAACCAGCTGTAACTACGCAGCCAAGTTATTGGATTTCTTGATGAATAGAGATCAGGAAATGCACCTGTCTGGCTGCAGAGAGAGATTTGCATAAAAATGAAGATTATGTACACCTGCATATGTAAAATATCAATGAACAGAATCGAGTGTATGTATGTAAAACCCACAACACTAGCTTTCAGATAAAGCACTGCAGAGTTGTTTCAAACCCAAGCGTCCCCTCTGTGGGAGAAGAGTAAGAGGAGAAGCTGGCAGCCAGGTCCTCGTTAGCTGATTCAATTTCCTGGCACAGAAATCCACTGGAAAGTTGCAACAGCTCTCGCCTGTCAGGTGGTTCAAGATTAGGCTAGTAAGTGCACTAATTGCTGCTTATCTTCTGCTCCATATCCCAAAGGCTTCAGTTACTGGAGAGCTTAGGAGCAGGACACCCAGAGCAGGTAACCGCAGCAGGGCAGCACGGGGAATCCCGGAGCAACGCTGCATCCCGGGGTTGTGCGCACCACCTCGATTGCGGCTCCTCGACGCCTGGGTCTGAGCTCTGTGGGCTCAGGTGCCGGGTGGCCACTGCAGGTCACAGAGCAACAGCCCAAGCCTGGGCTGCAGCAGTTAATAAGCTCTCTCGTGCACACATGCACACATATTTCATTTGCGCATCCACGTAAGAGGTACAAATATAGGGAGAGAGGGCAGAGAGGAGGGGTGCAAAGCACAATGCTGTTAAAATCAGACTCCACACATGCCGTGCCCTGCCTGTACTCACCGTTGCCTCCAGTCGCTGGTCCCGGTGCGTGGCTGGGCACCAGTCTGCAGCACCTGGGGCGGGGCTCAGGGAGAAGCAGGGTCTGAACCCCACAAACCCTGGGAGCTGGACAAGGAGCAGCGTGGGAGAGCACAAAGACCAGCCCTGCAGCCGGGAAAGTCTGCCCTTGGGCCATCCTTATCTGGGAGGCTCTAATTGCAAGTGCCAATCAGCAGGTGCCAATCAGAGACCCTTGTGTCACCTGGTGCCCTGCACCTCAGCAGCAGGCACTTTGCTTGCTGTGGCTGTAGCCCCTGTCCCTGCAGAGTCCTGTTTCCAGCAGCGAGGAGTCTCCCAGCCGCTGGCCAGGCACGGGACGGCTCCATCCGCACCCATGCAGCAGCTCTGGGTACCTGGACGTGCGCCCATCTGTGCCAGGGCCGCACAGCTGGGAGGGCACGGGGGGACCACCACCGCCCTGCCAGGGCCCCGTCACGGCTCCTCCCCGCGAGGAACCACGGCAGGGCTTTTGCCTCGCAGAAGGCTGTAGTGTCTGCTGCCGGGATGGGATTGCCTTCGAGGAACACCCAGCCCTTCCCAATGGAGGCTTGTTCCTACCACCAGGGATGTTGTTCCAGTCGTTAATTATCTCCATGTAAGAAACTCGTGCATTTGCAATCTGACTGGCCTGGCTTTAGCTGCCAGTCCAGGTATCTTAATCTGATGGAGGAAAGAAAATTTTTACTTCTGGAGATGCTAAAGTCACCGCTGAATTCTCTGATGCTTGCCAAGGTATTCTGAGTTTCATAAACCCTCCAGCCCTCTGAGGTGAGGTTTCCAGCCCAGCCCTGCATAACCTCTGCTCTTTTTCCAGCGTCCCTGCCGAGCACCGGCAGAGCCGGGCACAGCTTTCCAGGACGCTCCCATGCCTGGCAGGCTGCTCTGAACCCCGTGCACCGGGAGCCCCTGAGGCCGGTGCTGCTGCCGCACTGCCCGGGGGGCGCCCGGGGGCTCCGGCTGCCGAACCCCTGGCTATCCTGCTGCTGTCGCGAGCGGTGACCAGACGTGTGAAGCTGCTCCTTGGTGGGTTCTCCTTTCCTTGCTAATATTGCTTGGCTTGAAATTTTGTTCTACCCAAAAGGGAATGTTTCCAAGTTGATTTCTCACCGGTTTTATATTCCCTTTAATTTAGAAAAACACATATAAATAGCAGAAGGTATATTTCGTGTGTACACAACCACTTTTCCAATGGCTTCGTTGTTGTGTGTGAAATTAAAATAACATATTGATGATAATTTTAGCCTGATTTATTGTTAGCGAACAAGGTGAGTGCTGCTATATATGCTGACCCTTAGCCCTGTGCGGTCACAGGGACAAGGGACAGCGGTTGGGGCCAGGGTCCCCCAGCTTCGCTGTGGATGGAGGGCAGGAGACGCCTCCCCAGAGCTGGGCGTTGCGCTTGCTGCCTCCACACTCACCGTGGCCGGGAAGGATGGCGAGGGGACCTGGGGCCAGGGCCGCAGGGCTGGGGGTCCGAGGGGATGGACACGTCGCAGTTGTTACTGCCCCGCGGGGCCCTTGGAGGCTCTGCCTTAATGGCGTGATTAAGCCCATAAAAGAATTACAATTAATTAAGCATTATTTTTAAATTAAGAAAAATCTCTCCTGCATCAGGGCAGCCTCATGCCATGGCAACCAAGCCTTTCTCATTGCTCAACCCTGCAATATTTCTCCCTGGGAATGAATATTGCAGTACTGACAGCAGGTGGCATGGAGATGCCGGGGTGCCGGTGGCGCGGTCCCGTGGGCCACGTGTCACGCCGGCTTCAGCCTTCACCTCTGCTGCGAGGGTGTGCAGCAGACGTCTCCCTGGGGACGCACCAGCCCCACGCTCCCTTGGCCGCAGGGGCTCTCCTTGACTCCCTGCCCTCCCCGGTCCCCCGTGCTGGAAGGGATGGGCGCCTCTGCTCGGGTCCAGACCCTTCGGCTGCCATAGGGAGGATGAGAATTGTACGGATTCACGGCAGGCAGCTTGTGCAGGAGAGAAAGTACATGTTGTAAAGGGACCTTACAAAAAGTAGGCTAGCAAATACCAGTGACAACTATTTTAATACATCTCCTCTGACATGAATAGGAACTTTCTCTTACAACTGAATATAAATAGAAGTTGGACACAGCATTACTATATGAATAAATGAATTAATCAATCAATGACAAAAACATACTATGTAATCAAAAGATTTTTCATGTTAAGATTAATTTAGTGTAATACACGCCTAAATATTACATAAGCCCCCTTGACATTGAATTATATGACTTGGGGATGGGAAGGGGGCAGGCTGCTCGGTGTGGGAAGGCGGGACGGAGCCAGGGAAGCGGGTCGCCACCTCAGCAGCTGATGGCACGGGAGATGCTGGCACCCCCTGCTCTCCGGGCAGTGGTCCTCCCCGAGGGGCCACAGGGCCAGGCCCAGCAGACCCGGCTCCTCCAGCCATCAGGGTTTGCTGCGGGGCATTGCAGGGTGCACCCGCTGCGCTGGCCGGGGGATGATTTCCCACAGATAGGTTCTTTATTCATTAACAGCACGTATTTTCTATATATGTTCCAGGTGGACTGAAGGAAAAGCTATATATTCATTTATACTGGAAACAAAGGCCACAGATTTCGGACTTTGCCCTTGCAAGCCTGTGAGAGGCTGAATATTCCTGCAGGATTGGGCGCTCCCCCTCCCTGGAAGCGATGGCAGCTGAGGGCTCTCGCTCCTTCCAGAGCTGGCGTGTAAGGCTTTGCCTGCACAAGTTAATTAATCTAATGAGGCAACTTCTCTTGATATGTTATGTGTTCTGTATGCTTTCTCCCAGCAAATGATCACACATCCTAAAAATATAATCTTTATTCTCCACTTAAAGTTATGCTTGGAAGTTGAGGTTAGACAAATTCAGCCTTGAAAGAAAATGTAATTTCCTAGCAGCGAGCATAATTAAACATATGGAGCAGTTACCAGGGGAGGGAGCACACCCCCGTGGCTTAGTCATTAAAACCAGATTACATATCTATCCAACAGATCTGCTTTAACTCAGCTTGGTGGTGGACATTGGTAATGGTCAGTGTTTGGCCTTGCGCCCCGCTGTCCCCTGTGCAGGCTTGTGCTCGCGACCTGCGGGAGCAGAGGCTTGTCCTTGGTGATGCTCTGCATGGACGTGCTCCTGCAGGGTGGCAAGGGGCAGCTCAGCCCGCCCGTGCCTGTAACAGCCTAAGAAGATACAGCAGATAAAACGCTTTGCTTTTCAGGCCATTGGGATTACACCATCGCCCGTCTGAGAAGTACAGAAATAAATGTCCTGCTCCTATTTGTCCTGTAAGACTGGGAAAGCCACTTCTCCTTACAAAACATACCCAGGACTGTGCCACGATGACCAGACCGAGGTGTCCATGTTCCTCCTTGTGCCCAAAGCCCATGGCCGTCGAGCACGGCCGGCTCCAGCGGGGTCTCAGGCTGGCTCTGCCCCAGGCTGGAGCGCATCTGCCGGAGCCCATCCACCTGCTGGTCGCTCTTCACGGCGAGCCGCCCGTTCTCCTCCCTGATCTCCGATGTGCGTGTCTTGGAACATCTGGGCAATTCAAGTAAGGTTAAGGGGCCAGGGAGCAGTAAAAGGGGATGCGGGGTTTATTCGTTCGGTGCTAGTAAGATGATACCATCAGGGGAAGAACCTTTTGATTTTGCATTTATGTTGTATATTGATTTCCTTTAAAACAGTGACATGGGCTATTGCTAATACCTGTCTAGTTAATACTTAATGGCAACTCTGCTCTTACAGCCAATGAAGCAATTTTATAATATATGTAGGAAAACATACTTCTGTACATCTAATACTTTGGGTTTTTTTCGTTATTTCTAATCCCAATTTGCATAGATTTCGACTGAAAAAATGGAGGGATGAGGATCAAATGTGCTATCTTAAAAGGCTCTTGCAAGGTAGACTGAGGTTAGACTTATTCTGCGGGTGTTGCAGGAGACAGAGGGCCACATCATTTTGCACTATCTTAGAGGGACCACCACGACTAAACTTTTTTTGCAACACATTTCTCCACAGAATTATCTGCAACAAAACACTTCCCCTAAAACTGAAGGGGAAGCCAAGATTTTCATGTGGCCAAAAGCTGTTGAGTGAAAGCACCATGCAAGTGAAAGCATCCTTCATAAAAAGGAACGTCTGTTGCAGTGATGCTCAGGTGTATGGGTGCTCTGCTTTTGGAAACAAGGAAGGCGCAGCCCCAGGCGATGCCTGGTAGCGGCTGCAGCATTGCTAATACCCCTTTGCCCGACTGCCTGCCCGTGGGAACTGAGAGCAGCCACGCTGCAGCGTAAGTGGCATCAGCGTGGGGGAAGGACGTAAGGAAGATGACAGCTACAGACCAAGGCAGGGGACGGGAAAGGCATGGCTGCACCTCCTGAGAGCACTCGGCTGGGCTCAGCCATGAAATAACTCTCCATGCAGCGTTTGCCTTCAGGCGGGATTGATGGTTCCAGATGAAGCAGAAACTTTGATTTCGTTTTTCTTGCTGGTGAATTTGCCAACACCCATGTTGATTAACATGAAATTCTCTTTTCCGTTTGCAACGTGCTTCTACTAAATTTTTCAAACTTTTTATGAAGCGAGGCATTTTGGATGGAGACAGGTGGAGACAATGGATGCGGGGAGGGAATTGAAATGAAACGATTTGATCATGGGAGAGCAGGAATATGCAGTTAATGCCGTGGAAGGATGAAATCAGAGCAGCCAGGAGGGGGAGGAAGTGTTCTTTACTTGGGGACGGAGATGGAGGAGGACTTTAAAGCTGAGCCCTGTGTAGCTGCACATGAGCCTGCCGCGGGTGCAGCGTGAGCTCCTGAGGGGTCCGAGTCTGGGGCCGAGGCCGTGGGGGGGACGGGATGAGCCGCTTGCTGCCCTGGTGCCACTCTCTGCTCAGGGCCTGGGCTCGGTGAGGCGAGGGCACGGGCCCCCTCATCAGCTCCACGGGGCCGTCACCATCTCTGACTGCTCACATGAAAATGAACCTCCCTCTGGCCCCACATTTACCTTCTGAAGTCCTATTTCAGCTGCTGCAGGTTTGTCACTGCTGCAGCCCTTGTTTCTGAGCACAGGGGACTGCTGAAGGTTTTGGGGCCGTGTCGAGAGACAGTTCCTGTTGCAACAATCCAAATCCTGCTGTACAGTCCTGGGACTTCAGGGAGACTCCGAGAGACCCAGGCAGTTTTGTTGACGGCAAATTCACCCCTTTCTCCCATGCCCGTTTCAGATGCGGACAGTCAAACCTGGAGACAGTGCAGCCCATAAACACACAACCGTGGTGCGAAGGGACGGGGCAGGGGACAGGGAGGCTCCGGGCATCCGCCGGGACCAGCTGCACCTCTGTGCTGGTTTGTGTAGCACGCTGGGGTCTTGTGTCTGTGGGCAGCGCCCAGATCGTGCGATGAGCAGTGCAAGCAGTCACAGGCAGCAGCAGTGCTGAGGGCACCCCGTGCCTGTTAAGAAGGACAGTTAGACAGAGCTGTACGTCATGCACAAATACATATGAAAAACAAGTCCAAGGAGGAAGGTGCTGGGGTCCAGCGCAGTCTGGTTGGTGCCACCAGCAGCAGGGCAGCCGGGCAAAGGGGCTGCTGAAGCCGAGGCAGGCTTTGACCTGGTAACTTTAGGAAGAGCTTTGGGGCAAAACACCTTGCACTGAAATACCTGCAAATTGGTCCTTCCTCCTCAGGCTGGGACAGGGAGGGTTTGGTTCAGAGGGAGAACTTGGGGGCAGTTCCCCGTCCCTGTCCTTGCAGACCCAGCTGTGCCGCCGGCTCACAGAGGCAAGGACCTGCCGAGCAGGTGCAGGTCAGCTCTGGAGAAGCACAGAAACCCCCATCTCCCACTAACCCCAGTGTTCCCACCACAGTGTACCCATGCAATATCTTCTCTGTCACCAACACGTCACGGTGCTGCCTTACTGCTGGTGTGTTCACCACCGCAAGTACCACCAACCGCCCGTCGCGCAGACATCCCCTTGGGATGAGTGTGCAGTGAACACGCAGGCAGGAATTGCTCCTCCAGTTGCATTGCAAAAGCGAGTCTCAGTCCTTGCGCCTCCAAACGCTGGGCTGCAGGTGCAAAGCAGGTAGGAGGAAACGCATGGCTTTGCTTTGCACCTGCAGAAGAAATGAGCCTTATTCTTTTGCAAATTTACCCCATAATGAGAAACATATGTTATAGAACATGATTTTCTACAAACCAAGCATTTGCTGCATAGTTTATGGTTAAGTCTGAATGTAGTCACAGCTGTCATGGGAATTATGGGTTCCTTGATTTTCATAATTAAAAAGAGAGAGACGAAAAGAGAGGGGAAAGGAAGCAGGAGCCCACAGCCTGGTGCTGTAGGCACTGCCCATGAGTGCTCAGCAGGCGGCTTCGCTGCAGGAAGGAGAAATTCTCCTGTTGGAAATTCACTGAAATATTTCCTATACCGGTAGGTTATGCAGAGAACACCGTCTGCCTGATTCGGTGGTTAATTAAATAAAAGATATTACAAATAAAAAAATAGATTCTGGTTTTGGGCTCTTGGGAAATCATTACTGACTAGTGACCTCTCTTAACCTGGATAAGGTTCATGCAGGAGATGTCAAAGCGTGAAGCATAGCAAATATCCGTGAGCATGTACAATTACAGGTTTATTAAAGGGAAACAAGGACCATACGATAAATGGAAAAACCTGTTTCATGGACACAGTGAGCAGGCGTTTTCAAAAAGAGCCAAACTGGTTTCAGTAGGGGCTGTGCCCCCGAGCTCCAGACAAGCTGTCGAACCGGGGATGAAGGAACAGCTCTGCTGCCACGTATTCCTGCCAGCACAGGAGACGTTTCACCTGGGCACAGTGGAGGATGAAATAGTGGGTGAGGAATGCAGTAAAAGTCTGCTTGGGGAAGCATCTGGGGAGAGAAAGGGCCACCTGGGTAGAACTGGCTTATGTGGACCAGCTCAAAGCCAGCACAGACCGGGGCTTCTCCATCAAGGTTATCATCCCAGTCCAGCTACCAGGGCTAGAGGACTCAGGGGGTTCCCAAACAGCGTTCCTCTTGCATTTACACCCTGCCTGCAGGTGGGTCTCCGAGGCACTGCGAGGACCGGAGCAGAGGCATGGGCACATCTGCACCCCTGCATGGCCCTGCAGCCCCACGTGCTGCATCGACCGTGCGTGGCCCTGCAGCCCCACGTGCTGCATCGACCGTGCGTGGCCCTGCAGCCCCACGTGCTGCATCGACCGTGCGTGGCCCTGCAGCCCCACGTGCTGCATCGACCGTGCGTGGCCCTGCAGCCCCACGTGCTGCATCGACCGTGCGTGGCCCTGCAGCCCCACGTGCTGCATCGACCGTGCGTGGCCCTGCAGCCCCACGTGCTGCATCGACCGTGCGTGGCCCTGCAGCCCCACGTGCTGCATCGACCGTGCGTGGCCCTGCAGCCCCACGTGCTGCATCGACCGTGCGTGGCCCTGCAGCCCCACGTGCTGCATCGACCGTGCGTGGCCCTGCAGCCCCACGTGCTGCATCGACCGTGCGTGGCCCTGCAGCCCCACGTGCTGCATCGACCGTGCGTGGCCCTGCAGCCCCACGTGCTGCATCGACCGTGCGTGGCCCTGCAGCCCCACGTGCTGCATCGACCGTGCGTGGCCCTGCAGCCCCACGTGCTGCATCGACCGTGCGTGGCCCTGCAGCCCCACGTGCTGCATCGACCGTGCGTGGCCCTGCAGCCCCACGTGCTGCATCGACCGTGCGTGGCCCTGCAGCCCCACGTGCTGCATCGACCGTGCGTGGCCCTGCAGCCCCACGTGCTGCATCGACCGTGCGTGGCCCTGCAGCCCCACGTGCTGCATCGACCGTGCGTGGCCCTGCAGCCCCACGTGCTGCATCGACCGTGCGTGGCCCTGCAGCCCCACGTGCTGCATCACGGCGCTTCTTTCCCTGTCAGCCGCCTGCCTCTCCGCCAGCATTCCCCACAATTACAGCTCCGTGTAATTAATAATGTTTTCGTGAAGGGCATTTTCCTTGCATTGGGAAACAACTGCAATCACATTGACTGTATATCAACCAAAATACAAGTCACTTGGGGAATAAAGCAAAGATGTAATT